CTAAACTCCTCTACATGTTCATGTAAACGGATGTTTAATTAGAAATGAAAATTGTACTTTTGCAAGATTTACATATGGGAATACATAGTTCGAAATATAATCCATCCAATAGCATAAACAACTGTGCTACAACTCTCAAAGAAGCTAGAAAAGCTAGTTGCCTCAAAATTAGCTTGATAATTGTCATGTCACCGAGAGAATCGATATTTGACAAGATTAAAATGGTTAACAGAAAAGTCAACTACATGTTTTGAATCTTCAAGCCTAGCTCTATAGAACAGTTAAAAAAGATTTTTTAATTTGTACTTTTGGCTTCTGAAAAAAACCATATTATTTTTTGACAGTACCATTCGAATCGCTAGTTCTATAGAATGAGAAATTCAACCTTCAGAACTTTTCATATTGTGCTAGAATGTTCTTCTGTCTACTGTCTCTCATATTGGTTAGCACAAATCAGCAAAAATATTCCTGAACTGCACAGTGGCCTTCCAAAGAATCTAGACTTTTCAAGTATTTTTTCAGTTTTTCTGGTTTTGGCAAATATTGAATCAACAAAAATAGTATATTCGGAACCAACAGATTTTTGTAAAAAAGATTAGAGCAACGATCTCTAAAATATTACTCGTCGAAAAGGATAGTATCTTTAAAAAATGTTTTATCGTTCGAGGATTGATCCTTTATAAATGGCATGATTTTTTCTTTGGTATCGATGTTATTTTGAAAAATTTCCATCATTTTTTTGCTTGACAGCTCAATTTTTTTCAGCTAAACTGTAGCCAAGGAAGTTTTTTGCTTAATAGAGCATGTAAAGATTAGAACATCGAAGAATCCTTTTTTGCTTGAATTAAACTTTGTAATTATTACATAAAACAGAGTTTGTATAATAGAGGGGTAAGTTTTCGAGGGTTCTTCGACACATCGAATATTCACTCCTCTTTTTCTCTTGTTAAGTGAGAATAAAAAAAAATGTTCTCGCATGCATTGCACCGCGACATGCGCTTTCAAATAAAAAAGTAGAGTGTATAGAAGGAAGGCTGATAGAAAATTTCGAGTTGCCTAATGAACTACTTTTTAACCCTTCTCATTTGAATATCTCTCCCGAAAACATTATAAAAAACTAAAAATTTTATTATTATCTCTCCACGATAGTCTAAATATATACTGTAAACTTCATGCAATTTGATTCTAATCGAGTCAAGGTCGATTTTTAAAGTGGTAGAGCTGAAATAAAAACTCAATTTAACTGGCTCGAGTTTATTTGTTAAGATCTGTGGGAGCTGAGAAATTATTGAATAAAATTTTCAAAATTTCGAATTTTATAAATGTGTTCTAAAGTTAATTGTTTTATTCTCGATATATTCTTAAAAACCATGATCCGTTAAAAGGAACAGAATATTTTTCTTCCTATTATTACAATTATCATTATTAGAAAATAGAAAAATAGTAATATCTCACTAAATGGTTTCTTTCAGAATTAGACAAATTTTTAATTCATAAATGGACTGAGAATCATAAAGACACGTTATTGAAAAGCTTTTAGAAAAAAGATAATTTAAAAATGGAAAAAAAAAATCAAAACTTCAATAAGTTCTATTGCAACTAATATTCATTTACGTAGGAGATTTTCTACTGTTCATTTTAAAAGTCTCGCACCACTTTTTTTTCTTTCGAGTCATGTATTTCAATCACACAGTATTAATTTAATTTGACTTAACTTCCCTGCGTTTACTTCATTTAATAATTATTATTATAGCTTTCATCCTAGAAAAACAAGACACATACCCATGAGGAATATCGTGTACACAACCTTCTCCAGCAATAAAATTCACTATTCGTTCGTCAAATATTCGACCATTATGTGTTCCTTTAAGCTTCAATTCGACCTTGGCATCTTCGTTTGGTTTTATATGTCCCTCGCCCCGTTTTAATATTCGTCGCGTAATGCTTCCATCATGATTTGGACTAAGATCTTTACCTTGAGAAAATTATAAAAAACATACTCGTTAATAATTATAATTCGATAGTTTTTAACTTACCACTAAATTCGACAAGCTCTATTTCAAATGCTACTGTCACATTTGGTCCTATTTTATCACTATAACCTTTTTGACCATAAGCATATTTAGGTTTCGATATAAATCGTGCAATTTCACCACGTTTCATTGTTGCTACACCGATATCCCATGCTTTAATTACTTCTTCTTGACCCAAAGAGAAAGTATACATACGATCATGTTCTCGAGTATTGTTAAATATTGATCCATCAAGTCGTTTTGCAATAAAATGAATAGAAACTCTATCATCATGCAAAGGCATATCATCACCAGTACCTTCACGAAGAATTTCTTTGAGAAGACCTTTCAAAAATAAATCAATAAAAGTAGCAAATTAAGTAAGATAGAGTTTATGTTGATATTTACAGCCGTCTTTCGATGGAGAAATATCTTCGCCTTGAATCTGAATTGATTCTTGATCGTTCGAAATCATTGTAATACTATTTGTTTTAATATAGATTTGTTTGTTGATCCGATAAAAGATTTTGATTCGATCAGAAATATTCGAACTGACTATTCGAGCTCATACTTGTCACGCATCATTAGGCACTTTACAATAAAACAATACTCATCATTAAAACCGTCAAGTCCTATTGATAGATGTCACTTTTTGAAAATAAAATTAAGAATTATCTTACTTTATATAAGTTTGCTTCGAACATAATAAGAAATTAGGAAAACTAAAAATAGAAAACTTTATTTTCAACAATTTTCTTTAAAGCAAAAAACAAAACGAAAGTTTTTGGTGGTCATTGTCAAAGTAATAAACGTATTAATGATAATATCTGCAATGAACGGCGTCATTTGCTTATTTTCTTCGTACTGTTGATATCGAGACTTCTTCAGAAGTTTATTGTATAAGTTTCAACTTAAAGATGAGTAATATATTTTTTTGTACAGCTTATGGGAATTTTTTTTGACGTTTTCTTGAGATGAAAAACACTATTTTATTTGAATTTATATTATCTGGCAAAAATCGTTAAAAGTTAGATCTAATTTTTTCTAAATTTGTTTGTCAAACTTTAAACAATTAAAAACTAAATTGAACTAAGAATAAAAAAACAAATAACTTGTGATGATTGATAAAATTTCTAATAGATTTAATGAATAAATAAAAAAAGCTGGACAATAAATACTTAATAGTTAAATGAGATTTTTTAAAATACAACATCTTGTTAATCAATTGTGAAAAGTTTATCCTGACATTAACATATTTATACTTTCTCATTAGAAGAGAATATATTATTCAAATAACATATCATTTGAAAGATTGACACTGCCTCATATAAGAACATTCGGATAGAGGTTATTCTACGCCTACATATAAAATAATTTTGTCATGCATCGTAAGTTATGCAACAACTTGTATTTAGAACTTTTTCGTTAAAATATTGTTGTCAATGAATTACAGATGTTTCATATGTATATATGTTTTACTAACTTTAATTTACAATAATATTATTGCACATCCGGATAATCCTTCGATATAGCAAATTCATGATAATGTACTCCATTGAGAAACTTTTGACAATGCATTCAAATTGTTTTCATACAATCAGAAATTTTTCATATTACGATACGTTCTTCTTTTTGCTTCTAACACAAAAAGATCCAATGTTTTAACTAATATTTTCTGAATACATGTTTCAATTCTTTTTGTTGATGGTAGTAAATCTTAATCTATGCAATTTAATGTGTACATTATGAAATTTTCAAGCTTCTCATTTGATAATGCACTAAATGTTTGATATGAAGTATAAATGATATAGCTTTCATTAGCATACTTCATTATCATAGAAGAAAAACACAAATTTTAACTAAATTGATACAAATTAATTTGATAAGTCGAGACTCTACATGATGTTATAAAGAGGAATTTGTCCGCCTTTTTCAATAGATTTGGATACAGTCGAGCAAACTTGTAAGTCGACAGTAACAATGTGACATGTTTGTTTTGTTCGCTGATAAGGGTGGTAACTACATTTATTTTGTTCAAAAATTGATTGTGAGGAAAATGCAAAACAAACTTTCTTGTATGTATCAGAACTTTGTTTCTCCAACTAAACCAATCAAAAATTGTTGTGTTCAACAGTGTTAGAACCTCATAACCTATGCTCTCAGCACCTTTAGAAATTATCATTTGAAGAATTTTGCATATAAAAGAATGATCATGACATTTGATAGAGAACACTTCGAAGTTATATGAACGATGAAAAACCAAAAATTGGAAAAATTTTGATTTTAACATCAACTAAGGGAGATCCTCTAAAAGTAAAATTCATACTGATTAACAATATCATAAAAATACAATATATTCATAGAAATAAACTAAGTATCTGAACTCTTGACATAATATTCATAATTCATTGCAACTTACATGGTGAAGATAGCTTCAATTCAATAGCAATTGACTACTTCAAAGGTTTATTTCGTTATAGTTAAAACTTCTATCATTTAAAAAGAACAAAGTAAGTCAATGTTGTACTACCTTCGTATTGTATGTAATATAAAATGACATCAGCTTTTTCTGTTCTTTTTCTCGTTCTTTCATGACATATCAACAACCATATATGGTAAAAACATATGCCTTTTTCTTTATATTATTTATCAACATGTTTTTAAAGAATAACTTATACATGTAGAAAAAGAAATCTTTTCAATACTGTTATCAATTAATGTTATAAAACATTATTATTACATATTCGTATTGTATCATTCGATATTACAATATTCGACAACTTTTTGCAACTACAAGAAAATTTTTATATCAAATCTATGTCAACTTCAATACTTATTTTCATCGGTTGGATTACACAATTGTTTATATCTTTTTACTTTGTTCGTTCTATTTCTAATATTATCATTCGATGTATTTTAACATGTATACCATGTATATTACTTACCTATATGGTCAGTAAGGGACTTCCTTCTCTTCAAATGTCTTCTATGTTACTTGTGACATTTTGTTGGTTAGCATCGATTCGTTTTAATCATTTAATTGTTCTTTCACCTAATCAATGTGATACATTTCATTCTTTTATCTTAAAATTTCTATGGATGTTTTTTCCAATTGTACCTTGTACATCTTATCAACAACAACAATGGTCTATTCTTTATGATTTTATATCAGCTATCATTAAATTATTAATAAATCATTGGATGTATCGATGGCTTCTTACATGTAAAGGAAGTGATAGTTATGCTCGATTAATTATGTTTTATATATTTATATTGACATATACATTTCTATCAGATATTCAAAGTGGTCTTGTTCGAATTATTACTCGTAATAAATACATGATAATATCATTGACTAATTTTCCATTATTATCTCATTCATTACGTGAATTTTGGGGTCGACGATACAATCAACTTGTTGGTACTATTTTTCGAGAATCTATTTTTCAACCTCTACTTCAACATTTATCTTCTCCAACTATTGCAGCATTGTTTGTATTTCTTATTAGCGGTCTTCTTCATGTTCATTTAGCTTTTATTACTTTTACAGATTTTCGAGCAACTATTTCTACTATAACTTTTTTTCTTTTACACGGCATAGCTTGTATAATTGAAGTACATACATCATTTCAAATTCCTGTATTTTTTTCATGGTTATTAACTCAACTCTTTCTACTTGTAACCGTACCTCTACAAAATGGAGCCTTTACAAAATTAGGACCTGATTATTATGCTGTCAATGCACCACCATTATTTGGACAAAAATGGATACCTAAATTAGCTGTACCGAACTTTTGTCCCAATTAAGAAAAGAAAATATGAAATGTTGATAAAGAATTTAAATACTTTTATAATTATCTTCTAATCGATGTTTTTTTTTTGATAAAATAAATATACACTATAAATTTATTAAGTTTACAATGAAACATTTTCACTTTAATCATTGTACTCTCAGTCTCACGCAGTGTTGTGTATAAAACACATGAATCTGTGTGAAGATGTGATTAAAGTAAAAGTGAACACAAACAAAATAATGATCAGTTTAGTGGAATTCTTAGCAAGTATCTTCGAACAACTTCAACTCAACATTATTGAAGAGCATTGTGTTCTATAAAAAAAAGTGAGATATTGTTCAATAAGTGAAATTTCATCTAGATATTTACCCTAAAGAGTTAGTTTCTAAGAAAATCAATTTTGGTCATAAAATCGCTGTTTGAAAAATAACTTCTGTAAATACAAAAGTTTTTAAAATATTTCATGCAAAAATAAATAGCATGCTTCGTAGAGCAAACTTTACTCTAGAATTTTATACATCTTGAGTTCCATAGATTTCAATCGAAATATAAAATAATATTGTGTACAATGCTTATTTTGAACATCGATGGACCCTAGTCGAGAATTCCTGGGAAATCCCGACAGGGCTTTCCTATGGATTTACGAGGAAGTCAAGAAGTCCTCAGAGATTGACGTGGGAATTTCTGGCGATTTGCTAGAGACTTCCTAGGAATATATCATGAGACTTACGATGATTGCAAACGATCATACACGACGTTCTTATCATAATATCCAGCTCAAGTAAAATCTCATTATAAAATCCCCTCCAAGTTCCTGAGGAATCGTGACAGGGATTCCACCAGGAGGGACCGAGGGTGCGTGTAGGACTTCCCAGGGATTCTCGACTAGGGAAACAATTCGACGATAATTGTCAAATCTTATCGCAGAAGAAAATTTTGAATACAAACTTGAAAAGACTAAAACAATTAATTAAGCAAGACATAAAGTCAATATCTACACTTATCTCGAGCAAGACCTCTATTCAATTATTATTTGAAGTTGGATTTATTCAAATAAAATCATTTTCTTGCATTTCTTTCGTGTTCTTCTAATGTCGATGTACCTTTGAAATGACCAAAAAATATGTGAATATTTTGTATCAAGACTTTTATGTCATATAGCAAATAATTTAATCGTATAAGTTTTGTTTACTTCAATTGCTATCTCACGACATCTGTATACTTAGTTTGAAAATAATTATTTAATTTGACCAATATCAAACAAGAGAACGAAAAGAAAGTAAATAAACAATTGCACTGAATATGAGAAATTTTCGTACTTTGACAAAATAACAGTTTTTATTCTAAAACAAATATATATCTACAGAAATATCTTATTCTCTTATAATAGAATATTATTTTTATTTCATCAAAGCTCAATTAAAAAATAAACCATAAAGATGATGCGAAAAAAGGTGAATATTTTAAAAATTATCTCAATAAAATTATTGATTTTGAATAGGTTTTATTAATGGGTAAAAGTGGTGGTGGAAAAACATCAATGCGTTCAATTATATTTGCTAATTATAATGCAAAAGATACACGACGTCTTGGTGCTACAAGTATAAAAGAACAGAAAAAAAAAAAAAAACTAAAAATAGAATCAACAATATGATTTTACGTTTGTTTTCTTATCTTTTGACTTCTAGTGGATGTTGAACAATCTTATGTTCGTTTTCTTGGTAATTTAATATTAAATTTATGGGATTGTGGTGGTCAAGAAGCATTTATGGAATGTTATTTTGCCACACAAAAAGATAATATATTTAAAAATGTTGAAGTTCTTATTTATGTATTTGATGTACAAAGTCCAGAAGTAGATAAAGTTTGTTTCAAAAAAGAAAAAAGAAAACTTCGATTTTTCTTCTAATCGTTTTTTTTTTTTAATAATTATTCTAGGATTTACATTATTATCAATCATGTCTTGAATCTATTTTACAACATTCATCTAATGCAAAAATTTTTTGTCTTATACATAAAATGGATTTAATACCTGAAGATATGCGTTCAACAGTATAAAAAAAAAAAAAAAAATTTTTATTTTTTCTTTTTCTTTTTCTTTGTGTGTGTATGTATGTGTATTTTAAATAAGATTTTATTTCATAGGTATTTACTCAACGAGAAAAAATTCTGAATGATATATCTAAACCATTGCAATGTTCTTGTTTTCGTACATCTATTTGGGATGAAACACTTTATAAAGTAAAAAAAAAAATAAAAATTGAAAGATTAGATAAGAATATTACAAAAAGAAAAAAAAAAACAAAAATATATTTTTTTAGGCTTGGTCACAAATTGTTTATCAATTAGTACCGAATGTTAAAGGTTTAGAAAAAACATTAGAAAATTTTGCAGAAATTATTGATGCTGATGAAATTCTTCTATTTGAAAAAGCTACATTTTTGGTAAAAGATTTCTATTAATTGAAATAGACAAAAAACAAAAAATAAATAAAATAAACATTTTATTCAAATAGGTGATTTCACATTGTACTCGTAAAGAACATCATGATTCACGTCGATTTGAAAAGATTAGTGATATTATTAAACAATTTAAATTATCTTGCAGGTTAAAAGAAAAGAAAAAGTCTTTTTTTTTTTTTATTGTTAATTATAATTGTTATAGTAAATTAGCTGCAGCATTTCAATCAATGGAAGTACGAAATTCAACATTTGCTTGTTTTATTGAATTATGTACTCCAAATACATATGTTATGGTTGTGATTAGTGATCCAACTATTTGTAAGTTTTGTATTCTTATTTTTTAGATTAATTGAATACTATTTCACAGATGATATTCGAGTAAGATGAGAGATATGTAGGATTAAGATTTATTTGTTTTGACTTACGAGGAAAGTCTGTCCATTGATTAATCATTTTTTCAGTTGAGAATAGGCGTATCATGCAGACTTTGATGACCTTTGAACACCATGAAAAAGAGTTGATGTCGTTAGTTTATTGCTGCTGAGATATGACTATTTATTTTAAAATATAGTAGACTTCACTATTTGTTTTGAATAACTTTGATAGGAACATCGTAGAGATTTGTGGTTTTCATCATTCAACAGAGAAAAGATGTGGTTATCAAGGTATATCAAAAATTTAATTGGCAATTGCTTGACCAATAGAATGCGCGTTCTTGGTGTAGATTTTCGAAAACAATATTTTTGAGGGTATTTATTTTCGAGAGTTATAAGATTTTGCTTGAGATCCGTAATTTCAGTCAATTAACCTATGATCACTCGAAAAATCAACTTGGCAGGAGTAATCAATCATACTGACGAGGGAACATTTTCAATTGTCAAATCGCTTTTGAGTTCAGACTCTGTGCATAAATTAGACCCCATTAGGATATGAGAAATTCCAAAAGGATAAGTGCTCTTAAGACCTTCTGTCCAGAGTTATATGCATTTTACTGCAATTTTAGCCTATGGCATGGTATGTATTAAAAAGTTGAATGGTGGTATTTCGAGCTGAGATTTAGCCTACAGATAGACCTATTGCTGAGCAAAATGTTCAGTTCGAAAAAATGTTTCCTTCCCGAGATATTAGAGTCTCAAAAAACAGAATATTTTAGTATCGTTCATAGGATATGAGTGATTCTTCGGACTTCAATACCACGGGAAGAAAACATTTTTTCGAACTGAAATTTTCAGGAAATTTTGCTCAGCAATAGGTTTGTCTGTGGGCTAAATCTCAGCTCGAAATACCACCATTCAATTTTCTGATACATACCATACCATAGGCTAAAATTCCAGTAAAATTCATATAACTCTGGACAGAAGGCCTATGAGCATTTATCCTTTTGGAGTTTTTCATACCCTAATGGATTCTATTTTATGCACAGAGTCTGAACTCAAAAACCGCTTTGACAGTTGAAAACGTTCCCTTATGAGTTGACACTATCATCTCGATATTTCGAAAATATTGAAATAATAGCATTAGCTAATTTCGATCCTAAAAACAAGTATCACCATTTGACTGAGCGTAGCTGATAATCTCTAGGAAAGTTGAGTTTTCGAGTGATCTCAAGTCAATTGATTGAAATCGAAGGTTTCAAAAAAAAAAAAAGTCTACTAGTTCTCGAAAGGAATCAACTAGAAATCTTGATCTTGTATAGATCGAAAAGAAAATAGCTTCAAAGTATCACTTTCGAAAAATTTTATAGGTCTCTATGATGTTTATCGGAAAGTTTGCTGTTCTTATTTTTCACTATGAAAATATATAAAAAAATTCCCCCGCAAGATAAAACAAAACATTAGATATTTTAATATTTTCGCCTACTAAGAAAGATACTTTCATTCATAATGAAGTAGAATATTAAATCTGTCGATTCATATGCGCGATGCAAAAGACACACTATTATCATAGTTGTATCTTAGGGTAGAAACAGTGGAAAGATATGAAACATTCACAGAGGCTTATTCTTTTTAGGATAGTATGAATGAAATATATTTGCAGTAATAAACTAAGGACATGAATTCTTTTCAGTGTATTTATCATAAATATAAATTTGTGAAAAATAGAAACAAGATTTGTCTATTCCATTGGATACTTTATTTCTTATTGAGAAATTATTTTCTATTTGTAATGGCATGTAGAACAATAACCATATTAGAAAAGAATGTCTGATAATGGAAAAAAAAAAAATTCCTATCAGATTTTTTTCATTTCAAATTTATATTTTCTTTTTATTTAGCGTCGGAAGTGACTTTAATGAATATTCGCAATGCTCGAAAAGTATTTGAAAAACTTGAAAAAGAAGGTGTTCGAAATTAAATTTAATTGGCATATCGGTGATTAATGATTAATAAAAAAAAAAATGAACCTATAAAACAGTTGTCTTGTCATACAGCTTAATTTCGACAAGAAATTGTATATTTTTATATATGTGCTGTGATTCCTTCTATTTCAATCAAGCCAGGTGAAATTATTATCTATCTATTTTGATTTTTCAGATTTATAAAGCAGAATTGATTTTTTTTTGTTTTGCATCTTTTACGTATTCTTCTTATATATATATATATATATGTACAAAAACCAAAACGAAATAAATGTTGCTTGTTTGATTTAAACAATAAGTCTTTTGTTTTTCTATACCTCATATTTTGTTTGATAGATTAAATTATTATTCCAATTGAATTTTCATTGATTTGTGTATTATCATTACTATTACTATGCCAGTCGAATAATGAAGTGAGACGAATAGTAAGAATAGTAATAATACCAATAAAAAATGATAGTTGAAACCATGATTGAATTATAGCTACAAGCATATAGATAAAGAATAATGAGACATTTGGATATTGTTCGAAAAATAATTGATTTAATTGAGAACATGAAGTAATATGACTATCATTTGATATAATTGTTGAACAAAATTTTAAAAAACCATTTGTTAACATAGATGCATTAATTAAGGCTAAAAAACCGAGTATAACCGATATTGGAAGCCTAAAGAGATTAAGTTATGATAAGATGACAGATCGAGAAAATTTTTTAATTTTTCTACCATGGAATAATTAAAGATCGATCATTTGTTGTAATTATTCTATGATCACTATTAAATAATATGAAAAAAAATCCAGTCATAATACAATAAATAAATGTAGAAATATTATAGAATGTACAAAAATCACATATTGATTGTGAACTAAATTTTTCAGATGATGGTACTATTCTAATTGTCCAATTATGTGTAGTTGTATTTAATATTTTAAATTTAAATGAAGCATACAATGGACATTGTTGTTTAAATTGTACTGTACTGGAACCTACAATAAGTGCAGTTGTAAAACTAGTTATACCAATTAACATTATAAATAAGAGAAATGCTATACGGAGATTATGATCAGAAAAATGTGTTGTACGTAATGATGTAAGAATTCGAATAGGCCATGCAATTAAGTGTAAAACAGATGTTCGTTGTTGAGTTTCGGATATAGTTAGTTTTTGAATTTTATTATTATTTGAACTTATTGTTTCATACATACTAGCAATATGATTTTCTTTTGAATTTTTTTCAGATGATAATGCAGACAATGGAATAATTTGTTGTTCATCATCATTTGATATAGTCGTATTCATATTGAATAGTTATAAATGTAGTTCTATTCTTTTCGTATACAATTTTATATATGCGTCTGTATGTATGCGTAGGCGGGAAGAGGAATAGATGAAATAGTTTGAGTGATGCTTGCATATATCTGTTCGCATGGACGCGTTAGTTGATTGGCGAAGAATATAAATACTTTACTTTTCTTTTCTCTATTCTTGTTCAGTAAATTTGCTTGTAATTGATTGGTTTTAAAATCTGATATATGTTAGAATAAATTAACTAAAAAAATCGAGAAGAAAAGGTTAATGATTAAAAAAACTGATTTGACACATGTAAAATTATTTTAGATCATATTTATTAAATAGCAGTTATCTGGTTTCTTTTTTTTTTTTTACTTTATTATTATCAAAGATATGAATGTGTAAGTTATTTAATTCTCTTACTATGACTTTATTTTCTCATTAATTTTATTTACAGTATATTCGATTTAGACGATCAACATCATCAACAAATGTAAGAAAATTATGTTTAAATAGGTTGTTTTTTTTTTGAAAACTTATATTTATATTTAGTGAATTAAATACTAATGATCCTGTACAAAGTACACATTTAATAACACTTCGTGAAGTTGACATACAATTAACAAATCGAAAAATTATACCTACTGAAACAACACCAACCAATGATAATAATCAAGTATAATAGAATAGTTTTTTTTTTTTTTTTATTCTACTTGTTTCAATTGAATGCGTACTTTACAAAGCAAAAAAAAACATTTCTTTATTTTATCGGAATAGAATACGACTTTTTGTAATAGAGTTCATTCAGAAGAAAAAAAAAATTTCAATGGAAAAATAAATAAATTATTTTATTAAGTTTTCTTTCTATATTTACAACTTTTCATAAGATAAGTTATTATTTTCTATTGATGAGATGCATAATTATTCAATTTTATAAAAATAAATTCAAAGAATAATAAGATGATTACTTCATGAAGTAATCATACGGAAATTACAAACGATAATTTAATAGAATTGACAGGACATGTCAGAGTCCTATGTTTCTAAATTCTTATGTGTCAAGAAGAGAAAAGTTTCATAGTTCGAAAAATTCATAGAATGGTGTAATAATTATAACGTTACTCGTAATTCAAAAAAAAAACAGGAACTCTACCATGTCCTACATCTTGATAGACTTTTTTCAAACCAACAAAAAGTTGAATACATGGAATTGAAGATCAATAGAGAATTTAGAGTTGCGTGATCAATAAAAGCATAAATCGGGTAACAAGAGAAAAAAAATATTTATTGCTTTGTCTAAAAAAAGAAGCATATTTTTTCAAGAAGGAAATGATGGAAAACATGTCAAGTTTGTAGACAATAAAAATATCATTTCATTTATGAAAGATCAAATCTGGAGCTATTTTTTCATGCATTTATCTCAGTTTTCATATTTTTTTCTGACAGGAACTGAACAAATTCAAACATTTATATTATCCTCAGCCTGTAACATAACAAAAAAAAGCAAATTATTTTTGTATTTTCATATTTTGAACTTAACCCAAGTCATTGCTTGATGCATCTCCTATGCATGAATGTAGTTTTACTGTGGATTTAGTAGAATATTAATACAAAAATGTGACAAGGATCAGTGGTCGACTGGTCACTGGTTTAATTTATTTACCTTTCTGCTTTAATTAGATAAACTCGAGCAATCTAGAGAAGGAAACGGTAGAGCTTTTAGACTGACTAGTATGATCCGGTCTAGCATATATAGACTAATGTCATCTCCGTATGAATTAGTTAGAGGTGTTTAAGTACTGTAGCAGACTCACTATCGATAAATCATTATCCTTATTCTAAATCGAAGCTGTACATTTCGAATATAAGTTGACAAGTATTAATAAATGTTGTTTTTTTTTTTCAAAGGTCTTTTCTCAACCAATTGTTGATCATAATTGGGAATCACGATATTATTCAGGTCATTTGGTAGCTACATGTGGAAATTTTGTTGCTTATTCTCTCAAACGTTAGTTTTTTTTTCTTTTTCAAAATAGTATTTTAATCATTCATTGATTATTAAGGACAAAATGGTGATGATATTGTTTGTGTTTTTTATAAACAAGTCGATTTTCGATCTGTTATCAATCCTCCATTTTCGGGTGATATTCATGATTTAGTTTTCTCATTTTCTGAAGATGTTCTTTTGGCATGTGTTGATCAAGCATCTCATTTACGTATTTATCGAATAGAAAAAAATGATGAACCAAATGAATTACAGTAAGATTTAATGAAAAATAATAAATAAAAAATAAAAAATCTTTCTATTATCGTAGACATACATTAATCTTATTTGTTGATCTGCAATATTCAAATAATCAATGTCCTCCAACATTATCATGGTGTTATTTTATACCTGATAGTAATGATAGTGAAGATAATGATGCATATACTATGCTAAGTGTTACTCGGGGTTCAAACGTATGTGTTTTTTTTTTTAATTGTTTATTTTGAAAATAATATAATAAACTATTTTTCATTAGGTCGAAGTACTTAATGTTGATATTGCATCACAATCATGTATCTCAGAAAATATGTTAAATTTAAATCAAATTGTAAATGGTCGTTTAACATATGAAGATAATAATGGTGTAAGTTTTTTTTCTTTTGTTTGTAAGGATATTTGTTTATGAGAACAATATCCTAATATTAAAAATATATAAAAGAAAGTAAGACATTTTAATAATTTAGTTCCTGAAGGTTGGATAAGGTTTTGTTTTTCTTCTACTTCCAAAACTTATTTAATGCAACGCGCTTTCAATTCGTAAAAAAATTGTTAATGTTTCAGAGGGATACTCGTTAAACAATGGTAATGTACTTTTATATATAATAATAACAATACTAAATTCAAAAGCAAACGAGCTTTTTCAAATGGAAAAAAGAAATTAATTGATCACAATGAACATCCTTTGAGAATTCTGAGTATATGCAATAAGAGAAAACACATTAACAGAGAAAAAGTAAAGATAGAAACTTTTTTTAGATTGCAGTATTGTTAAATCTTCTTACTATTTATCAACTAGTTAATTTCTCTGGAATGACTTGTTATGACATGTTTATAGTCCAATGATAGACGTCTTCAATAGTTCTACATATCTTAATTTTGATTTTTCTTCTAATGATTGATCTTTGTTTTCCAATGAGGGAAGAAATTTAAAAGATAAAGAAAATACGATTTCATCTTACTTAAGCAGAACATGAAGTGACAGATTTTTTTTCCTTGCCAGAACTCTAGTACAGATGCCTTTGAAGATATTCTATCTTCTTCAATAATACGGCTAAAAACATAAAATTCTGCTAATCTCATCAAAGTATCCTTGTAGACCTAATGTAAGTTAAAACAGCAGATGACAGCTTAGATATCTGGCTTCTTCCTAAGAGCGAATGAAAAATATTCAAAGTCATAAAGTTCATTCTCGATCTAACATTTATTGCAGTTCTACATAAAACTTTCATCGAAAATTCTAGATTGTGAGATTCTGTGTATAGTACTATAAGCAATCCTGAATCATAACTTATATAAATTTTAACAACATTACAGGGTGTCCCATAAGTAACAAGACAAGGAAAAAAAGTTTGAATATCTCCATTAGGGCTCGACCAAATGGGCTCAATTTTTTATCAAGGATAGAGGCATCTGCACACTCCAAATCCATACGAACAAGGTGAATGAGAACCTTTGTTAAGTATCGCTAGTGACCTCAACAATAAAATTTTTGCTTTGTCACTGGTAAGAAAAAACCAATATACAGGATAGTGCAAAAGTCACTTTATCGAAAAGAAAATTAAATATTTCCATTACGGCTCGAGCAACCGAGCTGATTTTTTTACCAAAAATAGAGGCATGCTTATACTTCAAATCCATACAGACAAGCTTAGTGAGGACCTTTGTTAAGTATATTTTTTTATTTTTCTGTCTGTGAAAAAGTAAAAATTTTATTGTTGAGGTCAATAGTGATACTTAACAAAGGTTCTCATTCACCTTGTTCGTATGGATTTGGAGTGTGCAGATGCCTCTATCCTTGATAAAAAATTGAGCCCATTTGGTCGAGCCCTAATGGAGATATTCAAACTTTTTTTCCTTGTCTTGTTACTTATGGGACACCCTGTATATTCATATTTCTTGAATTTTAGAATCTTATATCTTTCGTATCGAAAAGTATTTCTATTGAATAAAAATTGATTTTTTATTTTTCAATTTTAGAATGTAACATGTGTTTGTTTTTCACCGGATGGTACTGCACTAGGAACTGGTACAGATAAAGGTGAAATAAAATTTTTTTCAATTAATTTTGATCAACCACAAATGTGCAGGTAGAAATTATTTATAAATAAAATTATTGAAAATAAAAATATTGTTTTAGATGTTTACATCTTTGGATACCACATGAAAATCGATCGATTTCATCATTATTTTTTCTTGATGATCATAAAAATTTAACACAAGAGTTAGTTAAAAAAAATTAAATTTTAATTATTATTATTTTTTTTATTTTTAGTACTCAATTATGGCGTTATGCAATATCAGGTTGTGATCAAAATCGTGAACTTAAAGTTTGGAGTTGTACGAATTGGAGTTGTTTACAAATTATTCGGTATTGAAAAGTTTCTTTTATAAAATACGATTTAAAAAGAGTGTTGAAGTATAATAATAGACAAAAGTCTTCCATCCTTCGTATCTCGACTATTACACATGATTGGAGATTTAAAAACTTTTTTTGCACGTACTCAATTAAGAAAGTAAATCTCAAACACAAGTTTATCTCGATCGTTTAAATAGAACGAGAATTACGATAGATGATAACTTCATACCTCTAAAAATAATATGTGCATTAAAAAATTTAAGGATTCCAGTATGTGGTAGTAGTCGAGATCCGAGAAGTCGGAGACTTTTGTTCACGACTATGTATAAGATAGAAAATTTATACGACTGACATCTTAGCAAAGCTCTCCTTTCCTGAATTATAACT